GTCAGCCTCATCTTGATGCAGTTTATCATATTCTTCGGTATCTCAAGTCTTGTCCTGGACTTGGGTTGTTTTATGCATCAGGATCTCAGACCGGTTCTCTAGCCTGTTATTCAGATTCAGATTATGGGGGAGCATGTGATGGTCGATCTACTACGATTTTCTGTGTTTTTCGAGGAACTCATCTTATCTCTTGGAAGAGCAAGAAGCAGACAGTTGTCTCCCGCTCGTCCGCAGAGGCAGAGTATCGGGCATTGGCACTTGGCACATGTGAGATTATCTGGCTACGATCGATTCTTGACGAGTTGGGTTTTCAGTGACCTCTCCATCCACATTATATTGTGATAATCAATCTGCTATTCAGCTCGCTTCTGACTCTGTACTACATGAGAGAACGAAGCATATAGAGATCGATGTTCACTTTCTTCGGGAGAAGGTCAGCAATGGTCTTGTTACTCCATCGTTTATGGGGACCAGTGATCAAGTTGCGGATGTTTTTACCAAACCTGTCACTCTGTCTATTCTTCGGGACTCCGTTGTCAAGCTTGGCTTAGTTGACATTTTTGCGCCTAGCTTGAGGGGGAGTGTTGGAGTATAGATAGTCTAGGTTTATTAGGATTTCTTTTCCTAGGTTTATTAGGATTTCTTTTCCCTTTTTTACCTTTACTATGATTTTTATATTTTGCCTATATATACGGGGTTTTACTCTTAATTTGAGTATCTCCTTTTACTCACAATTATTCCAAGTCACCAGAGCAGTGATTAATATATTAATAAATACAAAAGGACAAATGTGTTGCAAATTTAGATTCACCCTCTAGTGTTCCTCGAAAATTACAATGATATTTGAATTAGAATTCTTATAGAAGAATAAATTGTTTACCTTTTTACTTTTAAAATCAGACAAAATTACAAAAATTCAAGTTCCAAATGAAGGAAAAAAGATGGATAAATAATAAAACATAGATATTCTTTCTCTAGTACAGAATAAAACATGGATAAAAAATAAAACAATAAATTCTTTGTTTTTTTAAATACTTATTAGCTACTTAGTTTTGTTATTATATGAATTGTTTCTTTATTAAATTATTAGGGTTCACGTCCATGAACTGCATTCATCTCTGGGCTGTCATTTTGGCCGTTGGCAGTTGGCATTTGGGGTTGCCTTCTTATTTTTGACCTGTCTCGTATACAGCCGACTTGGGTCTGTCTCTTATTTTTTTTCATTGCGTGGATAGAGATTTTTGTAATTACAGAATTTGAAAAGAGACAGATGTATGTAGTATTACCTTTAATGTAGGGATATGGATTACGAGCTCGTAATATGACTTTGACGGTCGACAGATTTAGTTATTTGGTGTTATAAATAAGAATCGAGAGAATTTTTAGTTTATTAAAAGGTTATGAGTTATGGGTTGGGTTTATTTGAAAAAGAATGGAATCATATTTTTGAGTTTTTTTTTTTGTGCATTAATTATGTTTGTTTACAAGGTGTTCACGTTTACATTGACTATATACTCGAGCTCAATAGCTGGCTATCGTAACTTAAGTTTTGTTAGAACATGTCCGTAAAAAGACAAGAATGACTAGTCCTTAGAGGGCATGTGCACGAATTGAACTTGAAATCTCTGAGTTACTAAAGGGCAGACCAACTGTTGAAATTAGTTGTGTGTGTTAGTTCAAACATAACACTATTAATAAATACATTGTGCTAGTGTCAAGTCAAAAAAAATACGATTAATAAAAATATAAATAAATAATATTCGATACAAACCTAAATTGAAGCCATCTAAATAGGGCAATACAATTTCATGATTAGCTTATAAAAATTAGAGTTTTGGTGGATATGTACGAGAAGTATAGTTGTATGACATAAAGAACTTCGATAATAACAAAGACAGACAGCAAGTTATTACAAGGATGATTCAATGTACTAATTGGCCTGCATTCTGGTTAAGACAAAATTTCCACAAGCCTTTTCAATCAATTCTAAGATGGTGGCGACAACGCATAATGTCCGTGGGTAAGGGTGTTTTAATGTTAGTTACAAATTAACTGAGATCAACTTACAATTAAAAAAGATTAATTACAACTCAAGTGGAGATAAATAGATAGATCACGTCAGCTGTTATAGTCATCTACCCTAGCCGACTTTGGTTGATTTTTTTTGTGAGCGGTTTTGGATTGACTTGTTCAAATTTTTTTAAATTTAAAGATGAAATTCAACATTCAATGTCCGTTCATACCCGTGCTTGGTATGGGCACGGATATATGACTATTATGATAATATTTTTGTATACAAATGACTATTGTGCCCCTTAACCAATTTAATTCAAACTCAAGTTTGTTTACGTATATAGAATATATAGGAGTATAAATATTATTTGCTAGTTTAAACTCATTAATCCACATATGAAACCATGAAGTTGGGTTTAATTATCGGGGTTAATGTGGGCTAGGTTTCAAATCTTGGATTAACTATGCATTTACCAAACATAGAGTTTATAGGTTTTATTCTCCAACTCACGCTCCAAAAAACCCCCCAAAATCGCTTACCAAATAGGCCCAATTAATTAAGATTGACGTCCAGCATTGAACTACCTAAAGGGGAAAAGGGTGAACAAAAGGTTACCCTTCTAAAAATTTACTTCAGACGTTGGGCAAAAAACCTTTCAACGGCTAAATATTCCCCAAACATGTGTTTTAAAAAGCAATGAAACAGTGTAAATAGGGGGGGGGGGGGGGGTAATCCAATACACTGCCCCAAAGAAAAATCTTACTATGTATCTTCTTCTTTCTCAAGCAATAAACACCAAAAAAGAGCAATAGCCTCTTTTAAACAATGAATTATTCATTCTCTTCGGTTACGATGAACCATTCTAATATTTACATTCTCATCATTCATTTATGCCATTTATTATATCTAAGTCAAAAAACTCGTCCATTACAATACTTCTCAAATTTTTACACTATCAGTTTGACGCTGTATGTGAAAACGATTTCATCATTGTAAACCAAAAACTCCATTATTGATTGATAGTCCAATCCAGAAGCATGAGCCATAATCAACTCGGGATTCCTTAACCACAATCCCCTTCAGTTAATCAGCCACCACCAGGAGATTAGGATGATTTACAATAGGACATGATGGAGCTCCTATGCAAAAAACCAACAAATCTTACAGCTTTTAACAGTCCAACGACAACCCCTGCGACCCCCTCCCCTAGACTAGTATTGGGAAGGGAAAATCAAGGAAATCCATGATGAGTTGGACAACATGAAGAACTTTGTCAAAAACCAAGAGTTAGACACGAGCTTAACCTTGAACATAAGTTAGAGTTTGATTCGCTTAATTAGATTTGTTAAGATGAGACAAGCCGGTGTTTGAATAAAAAATTATCGAGCTGAGTTTAAACAAAATGCATGAATTTACACACTCCGCGGCCGAACTTGGTTTGGTTCATTTGTTCCCCCAAGCTAATTAAGCAACTTCAGTAGCACAATCAGTCAATCACTAATCATCAGTCACTCGACCTTCTAGCACAGCTCGAAGCCGTAACCATCGTTAAACAGGCCCCAAGTTGCGTCAAACATGAAACCACCCAACCTCGTTTCGTTAGTCGTGGCTTTTCTTATTCCTTGGCATCTCCATCGTCATGTTCCTCAACTGTCAATCAAGTAAATATCATCTCAAATCTTTCGGTACCGTTTGTCACAGTTAAATTCAGGTTTTTCTTTTTCTTTTTGGTATTGCGATCAGGAGTGCTTTGGTCAACTTACATCTACACCTCGACTAATTCGGTCAAGTCAAATATAGATTATCTGTGCCAAGATCCAGTAATTCGTGAGTGATAAATTTTTTAGTCTCATCCAAGAGAGTTGTTAAGTTTTCGAACTCTAGATGCGTAGGATAAAAAAATTCGACATGCTACACATTGCTACTATCTAAAATATTTAAGGTTAATCTCAAATTGTATTTCGAAAGATCGTTTGAATCTCAATTTTTATCTTCAAAGATAAAAAATTTTAATTTGAACTCTTAAAGATAAAAAATTATATCAATGCGCACCACAAGCTATTCGTAGATCCCCTCATGTTTGACAATTAATGACTTAAATCTCTCACATTTGAAATATTACACCTACATTCATTGAGAATCAAATATGACTAAAAATATTCTCCAAATTAGGCATTCAAATAATTCTGTTTAAGCGATGCATTGCATTGGATATAAAGAACATTATATAAATATACATATTTTATTGGGCATTCAAATGACAAGCTTGATTTTGAACTTTAGATTATAACGGATCCACAAAATAAAGGGTAGTGTGAAATTATAATTTTAAGTTATGATGAAATCATATTTTTTAACGATTATATTAATAGATATCAACGACAAGAGATTATGTGTTACACATACACAAATATCAAGAGGTGTATGAATAATATATTAAATGTGAAGGGATCGAAATAATTAAATGATAAGTATGAAGGAATTCAAGTATAATTTATCAATTTAATTTTTAACAATCATTAGTTTCTGGTGTCATTGATATAAATTATTATTTTGAGGGTGTAAATTAAAATTTTGATCATTAAAGATATAAATTGATATTCAAACAATTTTTTGGGATATAATTTGCAATTAACCCAAATACTTACCAAATATGAGATTTTTTTTCTCTTTAAAACAGAATTGTAACTTGGAATTTAGTGGCAACATCAGAAGTCTGGTCTCTCTTGTTAATCTCACCTTGTACCTTAAAAGATGCTTTAATTCTCAACATAGCCCAATTCTAGTGTTAAATTCAAGATTGAGGTTGCAATTTGAGCTTGAAAATAGGCCAAATTGCACCTGTTTTATAACATTAAGGGTGAAATTTGAAAATCCAATTCTTTAGTGATGCAAATTAAGAATTGAAGTTTCTTTGGGATTGCAAAATGAAATTAGTAGTCCAATTGATGAAAGAAGAGAGAGAGAGAGAGGGAATACAGAAGCCAAAAAAAAGCAATAGAGAGAAAATGGTAGCGATATCACTATACAGAGGAAACCTCCACAAAGCCCCCGACGTACCTCGTCGATGGCTAGTCCCAACCCCCAAAATCTCTCTCAAAAACTTCAAAATCCTCCTCCACCGACGTGCCGAAGCCCTCTCTCGCCTCCGCTCCACCTCTTCCTCTTACCCTAACCCTAACCCTAACCCTAGCCCTAATGTGAAACAAGAGGAAGATTTGAAACCTATTGGGAATTCAAGTAGAGAGCCTCCAATTCCTGAACCGTGCCCTCCGTTGAGAACTGAAGAGATTGTTAAAGAGGAGAAGGGATTGGAGGTAAAGGAGGAGAAGGGATTGGACTGTGGTGATTGTGAAGCGAAACCGGTTGGTGGGTCTGAGCCGTTGGTTGAGGATAAGCATGTCGTTGTGGAAAACAAGACCAAACCGGCGGAGGAACATGGGAATTCAGAGGACGTGAAAGCAGAGGCTCCGGTGAATCCTAGCTCGGAGGTAGTATTTTTTATATATATATTTTTTGGATTCTGATATTGTGCATGTGTGATTGTATGCTGTTTTAATTACCTATATTATGGAGGATTATGCATTATAATTTATAATCATACAAAAACTAGTAAATAAAAATAAATGAATTAGTGGAACATCCCTAACTTCTGATTATTTTCAATTAAGAGCTTTAAAATTCGTTGGTTTAAACTTCCAAGTATAGAGCACTAGTGGTTATACTTAGTTATTGTGAAGTAAGAAAAAATAATCCCATGATCTTAAATGTGAACAGTTAGTGCTAGTGTATACGTTTAGCTAAAATTCTATGGTGTAATATGACTGCCGAACTTATATGCTTGCTTACACACACCCGCTCAAAATGGCCAGATTCCAGAAGTTAAGGCAAAAAAAAGAAGTATGTTGATTTGAAAGTTTTCATGATTGACACAAGGGTTGCCAAAATTTCTGAGGCCCAAATAACCTGGATCAATTCATGAGGGGATGAAACTGAACCTCTGTTGAAGGTTTGTTGCGAATATGAAGGCTAAATCTGGCAATTTGGTCTAGTTGATTAGTTTTGGCCAGCTCCTTTCTGCGGTTAGTGCTGCTTGAACTTGTAGCCCTTATCATGCCTTGAACTTCTCTTCCTCCTCCTCCTCCTCCTCCTCTGTCATGCTTTGTGTATAGAAGTAAAGTGTATCACATCGTCGTTCAAATTTTGACGGTTTGTCATCTGCTCTTTGTCTTTGTCTTTCTCTTTCTCGGGGGCAGGCACACATTGCTGAGGATTGTGGGTTATGGTGTCTATTTTCTTCAAATGGTTGGCATTACTTCCTGGCATTGTTTTACTTCAGGAGATGTTAAGTAAGGATTCAAATTGGGGAATTAACAAAGAACAAATGTGAAAAGAATACTAAACCCTTGAATAGCCACCTAGGAAGCTCTACAGATGCTTGGAAAGTAATGAGATTGCAAGATCTATATACATATAGGTGCACTATTTTCAAGCCAGAGCAAAGATTTAGGGGAAAAATGTTTGTTTTGTTTTGGACCCACCCTTTTCACTTACACTGCTTGTGGTAATTTCATTGGAAAAAAGATACATATGAGGGGTTGTCAAATGATAGAAACCTTTTTCGAGTATTGAGGGGAACTTTAGTTTCGATGCTATGTCGGGATATTTTGAATGTGTTAAACACTGTTAACATAATGACGTGAATGTAAAAAATGAAGGGCCAGAATAAGACTTAATTATATATTCTTATACTGCAGTTTTTTTTTCTTCGAGTTTAATTGTACTGCAAGTAAGGTTCATTATAATATAGTCATAGAAGTCAAAAGCAACAGCTTTTTTGTTGGTTATTTTGAATCTTATAGAGTGTAAAAAAGTATTTGTTAATTTGGACAGTGTAAAAGAGTCACGCAGGCATTCCAGCTCAATAGGCTTATAGATGAAGTCTTAGTTTAAATTTGTAAAAAATAAAATGCCTCTACTAACGTTCATGAGACAAACGCGGTCAAAGATGAATTTCACATCCATGAGATGTACACTGTAAAATGAATATACAATTGAGTCAAATAAGATTCATGAGATGAACACCATAAGTCTATCATCAACACAAAGAATGTCGTTGTATCAACGAAGCAGCAGTGTGCAATGCATGCACTTCACAAATGCCATGTGTATTTAACAGCGGCCCTTGTCTATGAACCTGTGATGGCTGACGCTAAGCCTCAAATGGTTCATCAAGCCATGAGGTAAGCTGACATGCATTTTTCCAGTTTCCAATTGACGCGGACAATAATTGAATTGAATCACTTACTCGTTTGCTTCTTTTTCTTCTCTGTCACTCTCTTCTCTAAGATGTAAACGGATAATAATCTCCATTTACTTTTCTATGCCATGTGTTTATTGGTTCTTTTATTTGTCTTTCCAGACAAACAAGAAAGGGGATGCATTAAACGATAAAGAGAAAAGGAAAAGGGAGATTGAGGACAAGTTGCAAATTTTAAATGAAAAAAAGCACAATTTGGTACAAATGCTGAAACAGGTAAATCTTATGTTCAGCTACCCTGTTGTATGTATGGGAGTAAATTTTCAGGATACTCACCACTGCTTAAGTGTCTGGAGTTGGCTTCTTAGATATATGTGTAAAGTTGTTGACAACTGTTGTTATTGATGGTGCTCTACAGATACTGAATGCAGAAGAGGAATTGAAGAGACGAAGTAGTGTGCAAGGAATGGCAGTTCGGCCACCTGTTCCTCTGCTAGTGGATGTTACAAATGACTCTGGATCAATGTCTAGACATGCCACTTCTAAAATGGGTTCAGAAGCGAACCTTGGTGATATGGAAGTGGGAGAAGCTGATGATATTTCTAACCATAACATGTATTCTCGAAATTTGCTTCGAATGAGCAGTATATCGCCATCCTCAGATTCTCCTTATAGGAGACCAGCCTATAATATGGTAATACATTTGTATAGATGCATGAAATATTTAATGAGTGTGAGGTTGCCCAAGTTTCTGGGAGCATATTACGTGGCATTTGTGATTTTCCAAAGAAAGTAACTAATTATATTGGACTTTTACGATAATATGACACATGAAATATTGCTATCTGTATCTTATACCAAAACTCATGCTGATCTCACCCGTTTCTTGTCTCTGGAAATCTCTATAAGTGAGGTATCTTACCATGGTTTGTGTTCTTTCAGCTACGGTTTCCTTACATTACTGTGTATCGCTGTCTATAGGTACTTGTGATGTTAATATTATTTTCAAAGACTTGGTAACAGCTCCTTGACTGTTTAATGTATAGCTATCCTACTGCAAATTTTTCTTTTTACCAGACCGAAAAGGGCTGTACCATGCCCATTTAATTTTCTTACATATGTGATTTCTTTTCAACCATATTCTACATGCATGCAAAATGTATGACCAGTTGGGAAGCTGGATGGGATTCCAAGTATTCATTTTCTTGACCAATTTCGGGCCACTTTCTATTTTTCCTACAACAAGAAAAAGGGAAAAAGAACCACATTATACACAAAAGCTTTGTCATTGAACAGACTATGGTTATCAATAGCCCACATTAGGGTGGTCTTGTCCATTTTTTGACACTTCATTCTTCCAATAGTGCATGTTCTATGTACTTGAAAGCATATGACATGCAAAAAAATTGTACGACATATGATCTTCAACTTATCTTCTGATATTTACATGGTTCTCTCTCTCTCTCTCACACACACACACTCCACTCACATGCAAGCATATATAGAACAAGTAGTGCGGGAATATGTTTGCTAAGCTTCAGTGATTTATTTGTTTTTTTGAGAAGTTTTATGCAAACTAAAATAACTTTTAACTGCTTGAACATACGAGTTTTTGATGATTAACTGTGCATTTTTTCTCTTGTTAATAATTTTAGAAGTTTCTTACAATGTGCTGAAAATTGTTCCCATATGTATATATTGAATTTTCAGTTTTGTTATTTCCCAATGTTTCTTAATAATTTGCCTGGATTGTTTTATTCCAAAACTAATGCTTGTGGACCATCTTTTCCACACTACGAGCTTCTATGATTTAAGACATAGGAATTCACTTGTTCTGCACTGACTTGGAAATTCTTTGTCAATGGTGCTCGGAGGGATGTTTTCTCTTTCCCTTATCAATAAGCTACACCTAATTGCTCTTGATGTCATCTCGATAACTGGTGTGAATGCTCGTCATTGTCTATTGTCCATATGTACTGGAGGAATTGTTGACGTAAAATGTGGGTACAAGGTTTTTCAGTGAACTGGTTGGAGATAAACATATCAACTATTACTCACACATGCTATCTGCTATTCAGGGACGTAGAATACATCAGCTATCTAAGATGACTGCTATCTGTTTATTTATTGTTTAGCACCACTCAAATTTGAAAATGTTTGTAGTTCAGAGTTTGAACACTATTGAATTCATTGAACAAAAGATCTTCCGTGTCTTTCAGTGAAACAGACATTAGTTGTCCAATGCTACCTTTATAGAAGTTAAGATCTTCTAGCAATTGTGAATTGTCATCCTTACAAATTTATGCTTTAGTTTGTCATGACGTGGTGTTTAATTAACTTTTACTGTTGGAATCTTGATGCAGCTTCCACACCCTTCACGAACAGCTTTTGCAGTTGCTGGTAGTCCATCACGCTTTGCACCCCCTGGGCAACAAGGTCACGCATCAAATCTACCCACAGTATCCATGTCTGGAACAAACTACGTTGCATCCTCTCCTTCACCAGCGGCATCAGGTGGCACTTCAGCATTCCGAGATGCCCGGCACCCAAGTCCATGGAATTAGAAGTGATGCTATCTGCGTTTCACAGCTCAGGTTCACATATAGGCATTATTTTCTGTCTCCTGGCTTTGTGTATCTTAGAGCTTAGAGCCTTAGATAAGTCATCAACCATTGTTAATGACCAGGAACCATGTGATGTTGCAGCTGAAAATTGATCTCTCCCATCTTTTATGTGGACTAGAAAAGGAATAGCTTAGGTTCCAGTTTCTAATGCCTTGAGCCTGGCTCAGAGCGTCAAAGATTAGAAAACATCTTTTTAAGCCATCTTCCATCTATATCAGCGTGGGGAGAACTGTCATTGCCATGTAGTTCCAAGTTTGTAAATTGATGTTGGCAATGCTTGCCAAACAAAGCCGTTAGTGTCTAAGAAATGAAGCTTTCAGCCCCGGCTCCTGAGTGTAGGAAAAATCTAATGTACTGATAAGTATTGTGCCGATAATATGTTACAATCCAATCACTAGGTACGAGCACGACTCAATGAGGTCAAAGCTACCAACTTATTAGGTCCAAAAATTTGGGTTTGATCTTAAAAGATCCTGAATAAGTCTTTGAAAATTGGGATTAATTACGTACGAATCCCAAATCGAACCCATGAGTCGTAAGTTGGTTTATTTGAGTTGTAACTTGGACCTAATTGGGTTGTAATACTGCAGAAAAATCTGAGTTTATATCTATATTCTTGTTTGTTTTTGGGTGTAATATAGCTTCCACTGCTTGGCAGTTGCTTATTCATAGATGTGACATATGTCATCAGAACTTCATAAACAGTTGCTTAAAGCAATTATTTAACTTCATCCATACACAACATAATGAAATCCCGAAAATTCAGATCAGAAATGACAAGGAGATACATCTGACACACCCATGTTCTTTAAGCATGGATGATGATGATGGTGGTGGTGGTGGCTCTTGTTTGTTCTGTTGTACTTTTTGTTTGTGTCTGCCTCCTCTGCTTCACTGTTTCTTTAATAATTTCTCTGCAATTTCATTTCACAAAATGGTAGCTGAGGTAGCTTTTAATGCCAACTTGTGTTGAAGGGTATGCAACCATCGAATAATTAGAATTTGTCGACAATAGAACTCTGCTTCCTTGCACTGTATATTTATGGTTATCTTTTGTTGCTTGCTTTTTATGGAGATTTGTTTCTGAGTTCATGAGTTCCATTCCTAGTCCTGTTAGTGCTTTCACTGGTTGCACTGTCACACCTTCAGCCAGGGTTCTCTCATCCCCTCCCCCCCACCCCAAAAAAAAACCCCAACTCGGGTTTGATTCGTTAAAATTAGAAATCTTGTCAGTTTATGTATGATCAGTCTTTAGCCGAAAAAGAAGCATGGCTATGGATTACATGACCGACCACCATTGATAAAGAAAAATCTTTATAAATATTGAAAAATAAAGGGGCAGTATTAAAGTGAACTCGTTAAAAACTATTTTGGGTCAACGGGCTTGAAGTAGAAGTGTCAATCATGTCGTGTCATTTTTTTTTAATATGTGTTGAGTTTGTGTCAATAAAAAATTATTTAATTTCACAACAACTCTTATAATATTATTATTTATTTTTTATTTACTGTACTTGTTAATCATTTTATTTGTGTCAAATCTCAATTTAACTTATTTATTATTAATGTTGTTATTTTTGAGTTTTACATCAGGTTAGATTTGTGTTAAAGAACAAAATTAACATCCCTAATTTCAAGCATTTGAATACGCCATGATGAGAATAATAAGGGTGCAAGTTCAGAACTGAACCATCGATGTACTGTACCATAATTAATGTTGACCAATGAATATGCAAATGAAGAAAGCATTACTAAACTATCTATCTTCTTTATTTGGGAGTTATCTACGTATCCCAACAAATAATTTTGGTATAATATCATTATTTATAATTTTTATGAATTAATTATAATCTTTGATGCCCTGTTTGGTAAAAGAGAAAAAGGTGGATAGAAAGATGAAGATGGAAAATGAGAGGGAATGAAGCACTTTTTGTTGTTTGGTGAGAAGAAAAGAAAAATGGATGGAAAGAAAAATGGATGGAAAGAAAAAAGGGGTGAAAAGAGTTTCTATTTTTGATCCACCCAAATATGGGCGGAAAATGAGAGAGGATTGTTGGCAAAAAAGATCATTCAGTTAATTTATATTTATATCCTTATTAATTATATATTATCTATAACTATCATGTTTAAGTACCATTTGTTAAAGGAGCATAATTTTAAAATATTGTAATATGACTTATACATGGTAAGACACCTGATGACATTATTTAATAATTTTTTGATAATAAAAATCTAAATTACACATGTAAATTTTTTTTTTCCAAATCAAATAATAAAGAAAAATTCTATTGTAAAAAGTAAAAGTCAAATAAATTTCTTTCCATTTCTCTTCTACTTGAGTTGTAGATTTACAATTTTATCTATTTACAAAATAGCTTGAGTTGTTGGCTATTATTTTTAGTATACATAATTATATTTATTTGTCTATTTATTTTTATAACGAATTAGAGCGACACTGAATCCTTTAAATATATTTATAATAAACAATTATATATATAAGGGTATAATGATAAATTAAGTACATGTATCTTTTATTTCTGTGCGTGCAAAATCCTGCACAATATAAAAAACGGGAACAGATCTCTCCCCTAGTGAACTTCGAGTGAGCGGGTGGAGTGACCAAACACGCTGCTTAGGACAGCCTGTGAGGTACGGTGGTAACCTGGAACGGCAACGGGAGACCCTGGAAAAGGAATAACGATCCTGTGAGGCTGAAAGGGGTTCCTGAAACAAAGAAAAACAAGTTAGAAGGGCGCCGGAGTGTTTTCCGGCGTATCCCCTCCGACGGTCTAGTCAGTCTTTGAGTGAGAGAGAGGAAGGAGAAAACACTGAGAAAAATGTATTGCCGTAGAGAGTTTGTTGTTGCATACCCGCTTTGCCTTTTGCAAGGAGTATTTATACCTTAAAAACTCATGATTGCCGTCAGTGTCGTCAGTAAGTGATCATTAGGCTCAGTAGCGTGTGCATTGATTCTGACGAGGAATGTCTTCTCTAATTAACTGCTCGGGGTCCCGAGCAATCAATGCTGGATCGTCGGGACGCCGATGGTACAGTGTGTTCCTCTCGGGGAGGATGCAATAAATGCTCTGTAATAGGAGCATTTATTGCCTTTCATTTTCGAGCCTTACCGCATTGAATACGGTCTCATCAAGGGAAATGGTGCAATTAATTGTTTGCTTTCCCAAGTCGCGTGTCAACAACAACATGCGGTTTGTCTGTCTCTGATGTGATATCATATGCCACGCGTCCATCCCCTATTGGCTGTGACCTCTGTATTCCAGTACGTTCTGACATTACTTGTGTAAGACGAGGTCATGATGAATAGCCTAGACTTGCCTAGGCTAATGACCTGCACGTCAATAGCTTATCCTAGAATAGAGGAAGCGTCCAGGACGGGGTACCTCTCGGCACCGAGGAAAGGCTGATCTCGGGGACCGAGGGAGTTATGCCGACCGAGGTACGTATCTGACCGAGGACACGTGTCGGTTGTAAAATATACTGGATGTATAATCATACATGACGGTACCTCGGGGGCAAGGGCATTTGTACGCCGATGGTGCTCAATCCTAGCAACAGTGTTTTAGTAAACCGAAGACACGTGTCTTCATCATAGCGTTTTTTAGAAAAGTCCCATCAACTGCCCCCCAGCCTTCGATCTTCTGACATCGAGGACACGCGTTGTAAGGAGACGAAGGGTTTCCAACTACCA